ATACAGTTTTATCACTTGAATTAAGAAAAACTTGATAATGATAATCTTTCACTCATGACACTTTGCTTCTTCATGCCATGGGAGACAACATGACTAATTTGACAGCAAAATAGCTTATACTTTTGTGGATGTGACAGTTTCTCATGGTAATTTTGATAATCTTCTCTGCACCTACTATCATTATTGAGTTACAGTGCAAAAGAGACAGAACAAGGTTTGGATATAAATGTTGAAATAACCTCATCAGCAAATGAATGTCTATCAGGCACTGATACTGGGTGTCCTTTAGCCCAGTTGGTGTAAGAAATTCCTTTGCCATCTGTCCACACAAAGTGCATCTCCCAGTTGACGTCATTCATGCCGATCCAAAGATCCTCACTGTATCCCAACATCTGTGTTAGGAATGCTAAAAAGGAAGCAAACTATTATTAACTCTTAAAACATTAGGTTTATTTACATTAGCTTTGCAAACATCCATAAAGAAAAGTTGTGTTTGAACATTAGCAACTTGTTGCTCACCTTGCTCTGTCTCGCTGGCAATAGAAACCAGATTTCCTCCCTGGTTTATGCAGTAAGTTCTAGCATCCTGCCAGTTCTTATTCTCATGCCCCACAACAATTTTGTAGCACTGTGTAAACAAGATGAACATGCAGTGTGTGTTAGAATAACAAGCAAAGAAACAGAAGACAGCGTCTGGCTGCTCAAGCTTGATCTAATTTTGGAAACATATTTTACCAGAACAGATTTAAGTACATCTGAAAGTTTAAATCATATCCTGACAGTAGGAGTATAGCTTTGTTTTCATAAAACACAAGCATATCATCTAGAATGTCCAGCACTGTATTGGAGTAATCTGTGATGCATACATTTACACATTACCTTTCCTTGGAAAGACAGCCACTCTGGTGCACATCCTCCTTTAGGAACAGTGGTAGGGGCCATTGTTGTATTGATAAAATTACTGCTTCTTTTGCAAATAGAGGGAAGCTCAATACCACAATTAATATCATTCCAGTATCCTGAATGTGCAGAGTTTAGAAAGAACAATGAACAAGATAAAATTAATAGCTAATGTTTACAAAACCAACCTGCTGTGTGGATGCATTCAACTCACCCATGCTCTTGTATATAGTCACACAATTTTCATCATTGTTAGCAAAGTTGGGTTCATTTTGTTCCCATGCAGTGTAAGTTACTGGGCTGCCATCCAACCAGCTAAAATGGTAAAGAAAATAAACAAAGCTTCACTAACTTATTTCAGTTTTATATCAAATGCCAGACTAGATTTGATGTATGGTGAACAGCAG